GTAGAAGTAGTAGTAGCAGTAGTAGCAGCAGTAATGGTGGTAGTAGTAGTAGTAGCAGCAGTAGTAGTAGCAGTAGCAGCAGCAATGTTATACCGCATCATCTCGTAGTATATTGTATAGGATACGATGGTATGCTATTGTAGAATTTAGGGTTTAGGGTTGCACCGTAGTAAAATATATGTGTATATATATATATACATATATGTTCATACATATATATATATATATACATACATACATATATATCTATATATATATATGTATATATATATACACACATACAAATATGTATAAATATAAATATAAATATATATATATATATATGTATATACACTGCTTTTAATTGTGCATTGTATTTTGCTTTAGTGCGGATGCACCTTGCCCTCAGATCGCCCCGGCCCCGCTGGTCTTCGATGAAAGAGGACATCTCCGGCCGGTGGCAGACCACAAGGACAGGGCTTCAGGGTTTAGGGGTTTAGGGCTTCAGGGTATGGGGGTGTAGGGGTATAGTGTTTAGGGTTTCAGGGCTTCAGGGTGTACGGGTATAGGGGTATAGGGTTAGGGTCTAGGGGTGTAGAGCTTATCTTGCACCTCATCAACAACGACCAGTGAAGAATTGATTAGAATCTGCGTAAACCCTACGAGCCCTCCAACAAGATGTAGAGGGAGTCCCGGCATTCAGGGGCTGCTCCAGATTCTCCGTGCCTGCCGCAAGTTGGAGTCCGTGTCTTTGGAAGGGCCCCGGCCTTAGCCTCTGCAGTTCAGTAGGGCTTTGTGTTGCGCAGTATGGCTAATTATGACTTCCAGTTTTCCACTTCTGATACGCACCTGAATCACCCTTGAAGCACAAGATCATGTGCTTCTAAACCCCAGCTGTTGACCTACGACAATGGAGGCGATTTACCCCAAATCACCTGTACAAGCCGTTTCTGCAGTACAGAACGCGCAAGCGGCAGAGCAAGAGGGAGCAAGAGCAATGTTGCCCAATGTCTTCATCGCTGTTTGCTTGACACTTGCAACTGGAGTCCAGGTCAGAAAGATTTTCGTCCGAATAAACGGGTGTGTCCGCAAGAACCGTGCAGGAACTCAGATGTGCAGCCATAACATGTTGCAACAGTGACAGCACTGCCGGCCGTGCTCACCATACTCGCAACAGCAGACGCAAGACTGATAACATGCATGGATGCATGGGTGCATGCATACATACAGGCATGCACACGTATATACGCACGATTAAGTACGCACATGTTTGTGCCTACAAATGTTTAGGGTTATTGATGGTACTACATGACTACATGATTGGCATGTCTTTACACCGTCCATCACCTCGTGAAGCCTGTCACATTGCTGCAGAGTCCACAACGTCTTCTGGGAACAGCTGGGCATCGTGGGCCTGCAGATATGACTCCCAGAGATGCACGGCTTGTGAACCATTCCCCAGGACATTGCTGCACCAGGAGCTCATAGAAGCACTTCTACAGCTTCCAGCTCTTACGGAGGTCGTCGGGATCTTGGCCCAGGCCGGCATGGGCCTAAATGGGCGAATGGAATCAATAGCAACGTCCGCAGAAGCTAAGATGTCATATTGTTGCTGCCAAGATATGTTCTGCCGTTTCAGAGCGTGCTGATGGGTTTTGGTGGTTCCTTGACTTCTTGAGGTACCGTAGCATTACAGGACAGAAGATTCGAAGGTGCAATCCAGCATCTTAGGTTTCTGGATGGTGTTTCCTTCAAAACAACGGGTTTTGCTGCCTCTTTGCAGTCTTGACTACTGGCTACAGAGCTGTAGCCGTGGAAAGCTTGCGTGCGATGCCAATGCAGTAGTGCATGCTGCGGGAATCCAGGTGAACAAACGTTGTGCTTTTGTTGCAGGATGTGAACGAGACCGTGGTCCAAGCTCTTTTGCACAAGTGTGCAAATCTTGCCCTGGTTTCCCTGCATCTGCAGTGAAAGCCATTGCTAGTTGTTTGATTTAATTTAGATGTAGCTTCGCTGAATTAAGTGAATCGAAATACCAGGCTTCCACAAAGGTGAGCTTGTAGCCTACTGACGACTCGTTTGCTCGCAGAGCACGGCGGGATCCCCTCACAAGTTTTCCTCTGATGTTCAAGGAGCCTTTGGGGAAGTCGGGTTGCTAATGCCTGGCCACAAAACCTGCCAAATTCAGAATGTCATTACGTAGATCGATGGTGCTCTCAGCAGCCAGAAAATGCAAAAGTCCAGTTCTTTGCTTGTAATAATTCATTTGCAAGATCTCCGTTGTCACATGCATGTTGCCGGCAGGAGTTTGGTGTCTGAGGCTGGGTGGGGGTTCTTTTTGGGTATTT